GTATCTCTTCCCACGTGGAGCGTTAAGGGGACACAAGGTAAAGGAAAATGGAGAGAAGAAGTGTGGAAAGCATGGAGGGAATCCTTACAGAATTATCAACACAGCCATACATCTGAATAACCACATTAATACAACCTAAAATATGGGGGATTTCCCACACTTCCCCCGCTCAAAGATCTGCCCTTTGAAGTTACATCACAGTTGCTCTTTGAATGTGGCAAGGTTTCTACAGACAGCACCTGCTATAGACACAGATTTGTAGTGCATGTGAATCTATGCCAGTTTGATGACTATGAATATTGTAAAGAAAATTCAGACAACTTTTTTTGATAACCAAACGTGAAACAAAATGTTGGTACATAAATCTCATGAAATGATGATGAAACAAAAACTTAAATTACTTATTGTCAACTTTTGTGTGCTTTAAGATTTTTGAGGATTAATATAAAAAAAAAAACAATTCAGATTAGTGTATACTCTGCTAAGGCAATAGTGAGCTTTTTCAGTCAAATTTATTGAAAAACAGACTAAAAATTAATCTGAACCATCTTTATTCACCATCATGTGTTTTCCTGGATGTTAGCCAGAATACAATGAAAGTGAATGGGGACGGATGGCGGTGAGCTCCAGAATGACAAAAAACAATATAAAATATTGTAAAAGTGTGACTTGTATGCTATATTCCAAGACTTCTTAAGTCATTTGGCAGCTTTGTGAGTAATAGACTGAAATACAAGTTATTTACTGATAATCTCTCACCACAGCTTTCTAATCTCATTCCCTTTCACATATATTCAAATATGACACAGAAGGCAAATTTACACCAAGTTTCATGTCAATAATGCCAATGGTTCTCATAACCAAATGTGACAATTCAAGTTTGAATATGCGAAAAATAAGATTTGAGATTTAGAGGGCAAGATTTTCGTTTAAAAAATGATCAGGTCTCTTCAGAAGACTTGGATTAAGCCACTCCATTCATATGGATTAATGAACTTCATAATGAACATAATCTTTATTTGTGTTTTGAAGATGAATGAAAGATGGGTTTGGAACTAAATGAGGGGGTAAATATTACAATTTTCATTTTTAGTTAGCTTCACGAGACTTAAAATACAGCACACAAGTTTTACAATACCTTTTATGGTGTTTTTAGTCATTTTTCGAACTTGACAGTGTTCATTACCATTCAGAGAAGTATCAAGATTCATCCTACCATCTCCTTTTATGGTCCACAAAAGAAAGTAAGTAAGTATGACAGATTTGCTTTTTCAAGTACGCTATTATCTAACATTATCTAGTGGTCATTTCTCCACTGATGTCATTTACATGATAACACCTAGTTCAGCAGAAAACTCCAGAAGTGCTGTTTGTTGCTATTGCTGTACATTGATGCTAAAGATAATGTCAACAGTATTTAACGTTTATGCAGGGACAGTCTTTCGGAGCCTACATACAGACCCAAATCACCGCGCACAAATGTCATGTCACCACACAACTACAGAACAGGACCTGATAAATATCACTTCATGTTGACACACTATGCATCATTACAACAGAAACCACAAACAAGGCCCGAGGAGTCAGATCCTCAACGAAATCGAGGAAGACATAATGAGCAAAGAGTTTCCATTGCATTTCCTTAATTAGGCAACAACAGAATGAGGAATTACTACATGGAAGAGTGGGTGAGCCCCATGGTGCAATCCTTTGAGCAATCCTCCCATGTTGCACGTGTATACCTGCTATTATTGTTGCAATAATTTCAAAACATGGCAAAAAGCAGCATGAATGGGATGACTCACTCTTATCTAATAAATAATATACTGTGAGTAAGAGAGGAATGAGTTAACACACTTTATTTAGGTTTTGGTTGAAGTTTATGGAAGGGGAAAGCGAGATGAAGTGATATCAGGCTACTGTGACCTCATACTTCATTTCCTTTCTCAGCCATTAGAGAAGAAGGAAATGAGATAGGCCCATAACGGCATTGTCGCACAGACAATTTAAGACAGCAGGACAGCATAAACCACATTAACACCCTATATAATTATAGAATAATTCATTAGAACCACTGATCTATAATAAAGATATAAATTGATATGACTGGAACCAGCACTGCAATAGTTTTTGGTTTAACACATTTAATAATAATAATAATAATAATAATAATAATAATAATAATAAAATGTTGACTAAGAAAAATAAGATCTAATATAAATATATTCATTTTTAGTCTACAGGTCATATTTTCAGTTTTTCATTTCGAAATATTACAGCTGTCAGTTCCACATTCACACAGAAGCAGAATACAGTTGCCAGTATTGTATAAGAATGCTTAACCCTATACCATATCATATTTAATGCACGAGATTCTTAGACCTCTGAATTATGAATACGATCAAAACTTTGCTGAAAAACCTGTTGAACAATCCTCTACATGCCTTCTGCCCTCTGATTAGCAGTCCTTTTTTTAGCAAGTAAAAGACATTTTAGTGTAATTCTAATATTATTGGGAAATGTAGAGTTACAACTATAGGCCTAATATTTGTGCATTTTATGCAATTAGTCTTTTAGTCTTTAAAAACCTCATTGATTTACATCACAAGCAATCAAAATCTTACTTTTTGGTCATTTAACTAACAACATATGCACATAAACAATTTTTGCTGAGTTCGGGCCTCTGAATAAAATGTGTTTCTTTCCTCAAGTAGCCTATATGAGCACCATATTCTCACTATATCATAATAGGTTGCCCGTAAAACAAGATTTATCAAATATGATACAAAACATAAACCATATTTTAGATTTTCTTTTAAATTCGATAAAATATTCAATTTCAAAAACGTTGATTTTTTTCTGGCTGTTATCCGGGCTTTACAGGGTTAATACTGTTATGTTTACACACAGTTCTACACCCATACATTTTCAGAACAAACAACCTACGTGTCTGTTGTGTGTTTTTGTCTAGTTTCGGTAACTTACAGAGACGGACATATATGAATTTTAGATCCAGTCATTGTTTTCCATCGAAGCTGCTCCTGGACGTAGTAGCCTTGTTATTTGCGAGTGACTTAGATCAACTTATGCAACTGTGAGACTTTCCAGTGTTACGGATGTCGCCATCTTTGGTTACAGGTGATTTTCAGGGCAGGCTAGCGCGGGACGAGAAATGAATGACAATGAATATATTTGCTTAGAAAGTAGCAACTCCAATACTGTATGGAAGCCGAGTGTGAACGAGACCGTTTAGGAGTCACATATAAAGTAGCCTAGTTGTCAATCATTAACACTAAATGTACCTGCTGGGAACATCAAGTTGAATAGGCTATATGAAAAGGCAATAGGCTACATAACACAGAAGTATCCTAAACAAAAGAAACAAATTATACTGTGAACAAAATAATTGAATCTGAATTCAAACTGATGAAAATATTCATTTCTATCACTTATTATCATTAAACAAAATGTTTTTGTTAGGCCTGACGCAAACAGTAAAAGTTCAGTGATTAACTTTGTTTCCATTTACTGATATTGTCTAAATTATAGGTCAGTGTTTCAAATTGACACAGGGCTTCCAGCGTCACAACTCAGAAAAGTCGTCTATCATGTAAAATTCTGAGTTTCCCTTTTGTAAATTATGACTTTGCCTGGTCATCCATGCTTGGAACTCACAATTACAACATTTCCGACTCTACTTAAGGTCTCATCTACCCATTATCACATACTACAATGTTTTTTCCAGCTGCACCAGAAATCCAAAAGTAGCACAAATGATCATGATGTTTACTTAGGGAGTAGGCCTACTTAAGAAAAATTAATTTACTTGAAGTACTTTGCGAATTTTATTTGTGCTGTGTTCCCCTTTTTTTCTTGTAGGGAATGTTGTGGCATGCTAAAAAAAAAAAAAAACAAACAATAAAAACAATCTCATATCACATTTCATGGGGTTTTTAAGTAACCACAAACAAAATTCTAATTAGCCCTATTGCAAAATGGTTGCACATGTATTTCTTGGCTCTAATCTTGCATCAGACAGTTTTTATGAATGCTGAAAAAAAATCATAAATCATAAATATGCTTCCACTTCAATAACAAGCAGTAGTAGTAGTAGTAGTTTCTGACATAGAAAGTGAGCGTGAGATCATGTTAGAGAGAGAGAGAGAGAGAGAGAGAGAGAGAGAGAGAGAGAGAGTGAAAAGGAGAGAGAAATCAAAAACAAGACTGAAAAGGCCAAAAGAATTTCAGGGTGTGGAATCTCCCAATAGGAAGTAAGTCAGCTGTGTGTTGTTAGGCAAGTTGGATACGCTGTTATTACATCACCAGTCTGAAACTGAAAGTGCCTGAGGCGTATTAACATCAACCACATGGAGCTGGTTTATCAGGTTTTATTGCGAAATCAGAGAGGAGATTATGAAATTGCTAATTTACTAATCAAATAATGTACTTACATTACATTTTTTAAAACAATTAGGAATGCTTAACATTCTTTAAAAAGCCATTGATGAATGTGCTTAACAGACCACGAGAATTCAATTATGAATACATATATTTAAACATAAATCAAAATTTCATGTCATTTCTAATTTAAAAGTACATTAAGTTAACTAATGATCTGTTGAGCATAATATAAATGCAGTATAAGATGAATTAAACTTATAAAGTGAACCACACAATAAACTAAAGCTTAATTTTAATGTAAACATGTAAGTGTAAAGAGAATGTGTTATACTACTATCTGGCATGCAGAGTGTGAGGGTGTGTATGTGTGAGCGCTGTCTGGAGGTTAGTATGTGTAAGTGTGTGGGTGGAAAGTTGGTGTTGGTGAGAGCTGAGAGGGTGTTCTTTCCCTTTTCAAACCAACCTCTGTTCCTCAAGCTGATTGCACACTGACATCACTGGAGTTTCCCCTATCTTTATATATATATATATATATATATATATATATATATATACACACACTGGTGAGCAGACAACTTCAGTTCAAAAGCTAACTCGAAAAGGAACACATCTCAGAGAACTAACAGCATGAAATACGAAACGACAATAGTAGATCTGAATGCCGGCGCAGGGGGAGTTTATCAGACAACAGTGGCACCCGTACCGGTGAAGTCCTCCAGAAGCTGGATATGGAAGACAGTTGCTGCTATCGCTTTTCTCGCCCTCTGTGCTGTGGCGGCTGTTTTCTTCTCCTGGCATGTAATGGTAAGACTGAAACTTTAGTGTGGGATGATAATATTATTCAAGTACATAACAGTGTGACCTAATTTGAAATGAGCCTTTGATAAACAACATTTGCAATGTCTTTTTTTACAGAAACCGAACCAAAAAGAACTTCGCCCCTTTTTTGCGGAGAAACAAATCAGCACACCATCAGGTAAAAAAAATATTCTAAAAAATAGAATAGATGTTAGCACATTTCAAAGCTAAATTTTTGGTTTTCAACCCAGACTCATGAGAAAACGTAACTATTTTACAAGCTGGCAATTTTGTAGGCTGTACAAATTATTTTTCAAAGATTATAGGAGTATATTTTACAAGAAAACGTCAAAATTGTATGTTCAGCTCAGTGTGTTATCTGAAGTTTATGAAGTTTACTTGCAATTTCTGAGTGAAAATATTTTATATACCAAATTTTTTTTCAATGTGATTTGTATGTAAATGTACGATTTTTAGAAAAATATGCATAAAGGTCTACTCCTAACCCTAAAACATAGGGGTCAAAGGGGAGTAAGCCGATTTTACGAAAATGTTTAATTTAAACTGTACCAATTTATACAAATTAGCCACCAATTCACCAAAATGTAAAACAGTTATGAACATGAGAGTGTTTGGTTTTTAAATCAAACTCTTGCTTTTCTAGTTTCTAAACATTATTTTACACATTAATGGGCAACTGATGTTAGACACAAACTGTGAAACTGACCCCAATCCTCTTTTCCACAGAGCAAGGAAGAATGCTGAAGCAGATCGCTGAGAGAACAAAAGCAGCCATTCATTTACATGGTGAGTCTCAGACTGCATCTTTGACTTTTCTCTGTGCACCGGGTTCATATACGTCATAGGTTATCTCATTTCAAGAGACTGAGTTTAGTATTCTTAGCCAAGTTCATCTTATCAGATTCTCAAAAATCTGAGATTCATAAAAGGCGCTTGTTGGCGCAGAGCTGCTCAATGGCCTGAATTTGCAACAAGCCCGAGTTTAAACATTAACTAATGTGGATTTCCTAGTGTAGTAAGACGTAATTCAAATACAGTAGTATATTTGGCTCTCTGTGGGCGGCAAGAGTTGAGGACACTCCAGTAAACTTATTTTATCACATGTTCTACTGAAGATAAAGACTGTGATCTTTAACCCAAGAACCCAAATTGGAAACAGGCCCATATCTACTATTTTATGACCTCCAGTTTTAGGATTATATGTATTCAATGCAGTTAGATTTCATAGGAATGAGTTTGCACTACGTTGTTACCATTCTGACACTTTCGAAGTGCCTGTGGTCATCTTCTCACACATTTATCTTCTGTGTTCGCAGGTGAGCATGACAGCAACCCACAATCGGAGTCTCTTAAGTGGGTCAGCGGCGTGGATCAGTCGTTCGAACAGGGCGGCCTCAAGCTGGCCAACAACAAGATTCACATTCCTGCCGACGGCCTTTACTTTGTATACAGCCAAGTGTCCTATGCCATACAGTGCAATTTGGACGAAGACGATGAAGCTCAGAACTTCCTGAGCCACACCATCTGGCGTTATACGGATGCAGTGGGAGAGTTGAAGGCTCTGCAGAATTCGGCCCACTCCGTATGCCAGTCACAAGAGGATGGGAAGACCACGTACAGCACCATCTACCTGGGTGCCGTCTTTAAGCTCATGGAGGGCGACGAGCTGTCGACCAAAACCATGCGCTTGACCGACGTAGAAGAAGATTATGCCAAAACATTCTTTGGAGTGTTTGCCTTGTAATTTGTTAGCCACATGAGTTGCGTGGCACGATATGAAGACAAGTGTTTTACGTTAAAACTTCCAAAGTATGTTCTCAGGGCATTCGCTTTAAAGTAGTTTGACTAATGCTGAGTCCTTATTGCATTGTAACATAATGTTTTGTTTCTAAAACACATCAGATGCAGTGAGAGCCGTGCGCTGGATACTATGTACTCAGTCATGAGCACTATTCCAAGGGCACTACAACTCGTATAATTATTTTAAGCTAATATGATGTTTATTATCTTACGTGTTTCATTGTAGAAATAGTAAGGAATGTAGATGTTCGAAAGAACAATGGTATTGTGGTATATTGACCTATTTATAACTTTTGAGCGTATTTAATGTATTTTATTTTGTATGTCCTATTTATCTATTTATTAATGATTGTGTATGCTATACTGTATGAAAATGAATGTACCGAAATTGTTTTTGACACTCATCCTGTGATTCTGACATTTTAATGGTGAATAAAAGTGAAGTATTACTGTAATGCACTAGTCTCATTCCTAACAGCATTCAAAAAGCAGCAGCAGTTTGTGACCGGTCATATGAACACACTGGGGGATTTTTGCATTCCAGTGCGTGACTAGTGGTTCTTTATCTTCCTAAAGTCTGACTTCCTTTTATTTGTTAGAAATGAGGTCACGGCTTGTTTCCCTCACGAACGTTTGCTGCTTTCTCCCAGGTGTGATTCGAACAAAAACCCAGGGCTCTGAATGAGCAGAATTCCATCACTCTTTTGGTTACACTTGTGAAGGGTGGAGATTGCACAATTTAGTGCAACAGTGTAACTGTGAATTCCAGGAGGTGCTTTAATCTAAAAGGCCCCCTACTGGACAGATACCAACGTTTTTGTCAGAAACGGCAGAAGCTATTTTTTCAAAATAAAAATTAAACAGGTTAGATGCCCTTACAGTAAAAAAAAATATATATATATAGGGATTGGCATAGTCACAATATTCCATTGAATATCAAAGCCTAAAATTCAAAAAACCCAACAGTGCAAGAAAGCTGCATTTAAATGAGGTGCACCATGTTTATGAGCTTCTTTGTTATCAATTGCATGCATTTCTGATTAACTTCTAACATACAGTATGCAGTGTTTAAATGTTTTACAAAAAGTTATTTAAAAAAATATATACACACACATATATATAAATATATGTGTGTGTGTGTGTGTGTGTATAAAATACAAAATTTATATTTTATACTAGTAAATTGTATTTATATTTGTACCTGTATATAAAAAAAGAAATAAAAATACATATATACTGTATAACATAAATACAAGTATATTTTGTACATATATATTGTATTTACTGTATGTGTGTGTATTATACACACAGTAAGTACAATATATATTTACAAAATATATATTTACAATTTTTGTATTTATAATATAAACAAAAATAAAAAAAGCAGTGTTTAAAGGTTTTACAAAACCGAGTTATTTTTAAAATAATGTGTGTATATATATATATATATATATATATTGAATTACTGAAATAAATGAACTTTTCCACGACGTTCTAATTTATTGAGATGCACCTGTATACAATATTTTGTGTTTTGATGTCCTTTGGGTGGGGGAGGGTTTACATGTCTTGCATCAGATCTAGTGTTGCTTTCTTCAACGAAAATTATGACTAAATATCGTCGTCAACGAACATTTAAAAACTTGACTAGACTAAAAAGAGTATGCACGTGACTAAAACTAATAAAAACTAAAATGACAGTTTCACACAAAGACTAGACTAAAACTAAAATGAAAACAGGCCGCCAAAAACAACACTACTCAGATCTTGAGACTGTTACTCGATCATAAACAATCCAGGCTGCACTCTCAGTGCAAAATAATGAGTTTATTGAATGTTGACATCCAGAAAGTTTGCATATTTAGAGAAACTTTCTAAAGCTTAACATACATAGTTGAAAAATTACAAGGGAATTAATTACATTGTTTTTTGACGCTTGGAAGTATCAAAAGAAATTCCTCGTGGTACAGTGCACACACCTGACAATTAAATAGTTCAAGGAAAATCCATAACTACTGTAACCGCAGAGCCTTTAGAGAAAGAAATGCCTCAGAATAAGAACCATTCCATGTACGTCAGCAGTGACTCCACACAGATGTTTCCAAAGAACCCCTCCCATCCATTCAAAAGGCACTGTTTCAGAAATTACAGATCGTACCTTTACCGTGTGTCAAGTGTTACAGTATAGTCACACACCCTGAGCTACATTACTAGAATGTTGATATATAGAGGGAAAACAATGTGCTATGCCTAGCTGTCCAGTCATCAACTGAATCATTGCTTCTTATATGTTAGTTAGTTTACATGAGTACTTTTTATACAAGAATGAAACATGCAGCAATGCACAACTTAAATTAAAATCCCCAAATATTGTATTATTGTGTAAACAAGTATTACGTGATTGTCTTACCATAAGAAATAAATGTTATACCACTGTAAAATTGCAATAATTCTAAATATACATAGAGAATGTCCACAGGTACAAAAGTTTAAGCATTGACTCTACTTGTTATAATAATAAAAAAAATACAAGAGATGGAGAGTCAATAAAATTTTATAGATCTAGTTTTATGGTTATAGTTTCTATGATTTCTGCCACTATGACAGTGTTTATGAGGTGATATATAATTGGGAAAGTCTCCAGGCATAACAGTCTAAATGTTAAAGAATGGTCATAAATAACATTTTAAAATTTTACAAAAAGTGTGGTATCATTCTTACAATTGTGAAGAGCACTCATTTGTTTACTGTTACTCGAAAGAGGCACAAAATTATTTTTTAACCACCAAAACAAAAAAAACAATAAATTAACTTTAAAAAAAAAAATGTCACTCATAAGAGGCATACAATAATTTTTAAACTTTCAATATATGATACGAAATTAAATAATTAAATAATAAATTACCTCAAATAAATAAATATTGCACGGACAAAGTAATGGTCTTGAATTTGATAAAAACAATCAATAATTTGGACAGAGTGCTCTCCAAAAAATCACTAAATAAAATGCATTAATTAAAAATCGTCTTAAAATGTTGTGTGCTGTGAGATGTGTTTGCTTGATAAATTTGGCCCAAAAGTGCAAAAGCTACAGAAGCTGTTTAAGAGGCCTGTGCTTGTTTTTTACTCAAACTGTGACGTAACACACAAATCACAAACATCACAGATTATTTGACAAACGAATGAGCCTTTAGAGATTCTCATCAGAAGCATCTTGCATCACAACTGTATGATAATAGGAGGACAAAACAAACCGATGCTTGTTTTGTACAGTCCAGACCAAAACAAATTATCCTTTTATTCTTTTCCATTTCACTCCACTTCACTTCTACTACTACGGTTGTAAAAAACAGGAGTCGGAGAGGTTGAGACAAGGACAGAAAAGCCATTAAAGCAGTATACGGCACACGGCCGTAGGGATTAAAGGAGAAAAGGCATATGAGGAAAATAGAGTATCGACCAGACTCGGGTCAAATACCTTTAGGAGTAAGTAAATCACAGGTTCGGCTAAAACCTTGTCTCATTTCCTTTGTGAACTGGATGAGAGAGAGAACAATTCATCTGATACCGTCTGCTGGTGCAATGCAAGGTCTGTCTCATTAAAGTGACAGTCTCGTCAGATGCTAAGCGAAGCACGGAGACACACTCTTCTTCCTTCGCTGTCACTCAACAAAATAATTCAAAGAAATGTTTGAGAGGGTCTGGCTCCAGTACCCACACAATCCTTCCTAAACACCTCTGTCCTAGTGTTTAAAAGACGCTTTATCCGAAGGGATTTACGGAGGTCCAATTGCAAAAACAGTCAGTTCCCCTTGAAGAACTCCGATTTAAGTGCTACGGTGCAAGGGCACAATAATGACAGAGCACAACCCTGATTTAAGCCGCTCTCTAGCATTTGGACAGCAGTCTATCTGGCCTTTACGTTAATACTCTCTTAAAGGGTTAGTTCACCCAAAAATGAAAATTCTGTCATTAATTACTGAACATGGTAGTTACCTTGCTGTCTATGGGAGGGTCAGAGAGCCCTCAGATTTCATCAAAAATATCTTAAATTGTGTTCTGAAGATGAACGAAGGTCTTACGGGTTTGGAACAACACGAGGGTGAGTAATTGATGACAGAATTTTCATTTTTGGGTGAACTAACCCTTTAAAGGAACATTACAGGTTCAGTACAAGTTTAGCTCAATTGACAATATTCACTAGCAAAATTGATCCCCATTTGTCCCTCTTTTTCTTTAAAACAAGGAAGGCTTGGCTTATAGTGAGGCATTTACAATGGAAGTGAATGGGCCTAAACATTTAAAGCAAACATTTGAATTCACAATGAAACAAAAGTATTGGATTATCAAAAACTAAAAAAAATATAGGGTGAAACTTAGTTCTATGAATTGGTTGTTGACTGATTTAACTGAGGTCTAGTTATGACATTTTGATTAAACATTACAAGGTGAAAATTTCCAACGGATTTTTAAATTGAAATTTCCAATTGACTGTTGATTTTAAATTCTCACTGCTTTAAAAGTAAAGTCACATGATATGCATGTTTACATGATTTTAGTATAATAAACTGTTGCTATCATAAAGAAACACCAAAAAATCCTATAAAATGACTATTTAAACAACTTTACAGTTCAAATAATACGCACGTTTTAACAGAATAATTTTTTTAAATGCTTCACGTTTTTGCTTTTAAATTCTCCTTCCATTGTAAATGCCTCAACATAACCTAAAGGACAAGTCGATACGAAATTATTATTTGTGCTATTCAGAAGGTTTGATTAATGCACAAGCACATACTATTTCCTGACATCATTGCTTTCTATTGTCTGAAAGCACCACACTCAATGACTGTGCAACAGAATTTTTGTTTCCTTATACACTAACATTCAAAAGTTTGGGGTAAGTTTTTTTTTTAGAAAGAAATTAATATATTTATTCAACAAGGATGTATTAAATTGATTAAAAGTGACAGTAATATGTTTATAATGTCACAAAAGATCAAATAAAAGCTGTACAGTATCATGGCTTCCACAAAACTAATGAGCAGCACAACTGTTTTCACCACTGATAATAATAATAATAATAATAATAAATATTTCTTGCAAATCAGCATATTAGAATGATTTCTGAAGGATCATGTAACACTGAAGACTGGAGTAATGATGCTGAAAATTCAGCTT